ACCATCACAATCATTCAAACTCACTATACGATGAACAATAAAGTGCGTAGTGTTGGAATGTCCCGCAAACAACAAGACCTTTGGTAGGATAACTTGACTAATAACATGTATAATGGTTACATCCTTTCACTGTGTAATTGGTTATTTTCAGCTTTTTTGTAATAATTTGTTTTCCTCTTGGTCTCACATTATTTTCCGAACTCCTATGAACTCTCCTTCCTTCTCCTCTTCAAATTATATCAACACCCCCCCTCCCTCCTCTTAAAAAACCCTGCAGGCTGAAGAAAACTGTTAGATCGAAAATCTATTCCTACTCAATTTCAATCTCTCGCTCTTATATATCCTCGCCTTTGATCGTGTCCCATAAAAATTTCACCTATTTTGGTTTCTACGGCCGTGATTTAATCGTAGTTTTCCTAGTTTTTTTACGTACATGTTCATCATAGGAGTCGGAGTAGAGAAATGAAGAACCATTTTTGGAATTATACTGGTCCTCCCATTATTTATGCTACAGGGCCGTAGGAAGCTGTTTTTGATTGGGGGGCTGGAAGCGAGGGCCGAAGGCCCGAGGAAATTTTTAAATTTAGAGTCTTTGAAATGCCATTTCCTGGACCCTGCAGCCCCCTGGTTGCTACATACGGCCCTTGGCTACACGCGGAAATGCACCGAATGGCAAATAAGGATTACCACTCGAAAGTCGTGCTCGATATTTTTTTTCATCCGTTTAGTCTTGCACGATATTTTTTTTAAGTTCGAATTGCTTGCCCGATATTTTTTTTGGGATTCTACCCACCCCCCCATCAAAAATCAAATGGTCCATCCCTTAATAATTCACTAAAATCAAAATTTTCTGTTCCAGCTTGCTCAGTTATCTTTGGCATGTAAAATCATTAGGCAGTACCCTCAGTAAAATACTTATTTAACTGGCTGACCATTACAGTAGTCAACAGTTAATAAATGAATACATGCAAAAATTACAAATTAACTGCCCTCATACCAATCCATTGGTCTCTGACTCATCCAATAAATACTTAACAAAATAGTACGATAATAATAGAAAAGTGTGAAAATGCCAACGTTACCTAACTTTGTGTGACAAGAAAGTTAGATTACATTAATTTTACAGTCAGGTATTCTTTTCTTTATCGCCTCAATAGTCTGGTTGATGATTCCAATGGCCCCCATAAAATTCCAATGGCCGGCCCATAAATTTCCAATGGCCCCCATAAATTTTACTGGAGAAAATGTTTCCCCCAATTCTTGCCATTAAATCTCCATAGCCCCCAATTTTACCCATCCAATTAGGGAGAGTCTTGTGTGGTCACACTATAGTAATGGGAATATGGGATAATCAAATATGGCATACTTTGTTATTTTTCTCTGTCCCACACCAGACAATTTTACTTGTCAAGTGTAAGGTTAAGTGAGTAATAAAAAGTGGCTGGATATTCTAACTTTTGCTCCATATAATTGGACTTTGGTTGTGAGCAAAATGTAAAAAGACAATTACCAGTAATACTGGCCTTACTACATCCCTATTATTTACCTTGCAACCTTGAGCAGTTGTGCTGTTACAGCAGAATGTGGTTTCAAATGACAGTTATTTTATGGCAATTATGATATTCCAGTGTGCCAGTAAGACATTTATCATTTGTTTCTCTTTTAGTACTATATCGAAAAGGTGATTGCAGGGTATTCAGATCCTGGAGTGATGTGAAATGGCCATGACCTTGGGCAATTTATAAGTAATATATGAGTGGTGTAAGATAGGAAATTTTTTATTCATTCTGATTGACTAATAAAATTAGAATGGTGAGAATAATGATGATGATGGTAGTGAAATACAAGTTGTGATGATATTGGTGATGCACAAGTTGTAATAATACTGCTGATAATGATAAAAAAATATATTGTATTTGTAATGAGACATAAATAATAGAGATTGGCAGTAATGAATGTGTATGACTTGATCAATTGTGCTGGTGAGAAGGCAATATATTGCCACCTAGATGAATTAAAGTCCCATGCCATTTTGTGTTCAAAACTAACTGTTCTCATCAGCTCCAAGCATAACTGGGAAAGCTGGTTTCAATCCTGTTAGCTGATCTGGAAACTATTTGCACACATATAAATATTTATTTTTTCCCCTCATGAATTATATTGTTTGCCCAAAATATTGGTTGATTATTTCATCTAGAAACAGTGTGAATGTTGTTTGAATTTGGTATGTTCACTCTGTGACAAGTGAAAGTGATATGTAATTCATGCATATGGTGATTTTTGGTTTCAGGATGTAAAAAATGAAATTTACTTACTGATAAAATTCAGTGTAACCATATTCATTAAGCCTCTGTGTCTCTCTTAGAAGCCCTACCTCCTCAATACAAATAAAACTCTGCATAGTGACTTGTGCCGTGACTAATATTATGTTACAGCTTTGGTTCAAATTTCATAAATCATGAACCGATGTACAGTAACTGCAAATGTAAACAAATAGGTGAATGCACACCCAGTATACAGACTGTTATTTGCCTTTAAGACTCCTAAGTCACATATCACTGATATAAGATTCATAGTAAATTTGTTGTTTCAAGATCACTGTATATTATTTCTCATGATTCAGGATTGGTACCCCCCCCCCTTCCAGACAAACAGAAATATAGATAATACATCCCAAAAAATAAATATGAAATTAACTCACACACACAAAGGTTTCAAGATACTGTGTATAATTTCATTCACAACTGTATTTTAAACTACATACATACGGAAACCAACCTGTCACTCGACCAGTTAATTGTTTCAAAATATTCTGCTTTGATATTAACTACATGTTTAAATACACATGAAGAATTTCGTTTCCATAGATGTCCCCTCTGATTTATCCTTCCATAAAAGTACAATAAAATCCCAAGTGATATTCTTTGGTCAATACATAAAAATTACTTATAATCAACAATGTTTATTTAATTCTTTATAAAACGTCGCACACAAGCAGCTGCATTGGATACAAAATAGACAGTTTATTAAAAGACAGATCACTCGACTAGTTTTCTCTCAGTTTGATCTTCGATCTTTGATAAGTATTACGGTTAGCTATTCCACAATTTGTTGAAAGAAAGCTCGTAGAATGCATAGATAATATATACCCACTCTTAAATCTCACTAGGAAAGTTTTATTTATCATAATATTATGAAAACTCGAAAACGTCGCGCCTTCGCGCTGCCATGTTTGATAAAATCAATCGGCTCCGCTCCCCCCGGATTGAAAACTAAATTATTACGAAATGTCCAATATTTTTGGAGTCACATGACCAGTGTTTACCAGGGCCTTTGCCATAGAGATTATAAATAACACTAGAGGAGGCATTGTAATCTTAATTCAGTAAAAAAAAGGGAACGCGACTATTGGGGGGCAAATTCAAGTCCCGGATGTGTATTCGTGTTCCCATTGGTGACGAGTTTCAAATCATCCAATGAGAGCACGATTTTATATCCGGGACTTGAATTTGCCCCCCATTAGCTGCGTTCCCAATTTTTAAACTCGATGCCTCCTCTAGTGTTATTTATAATCTCTATGGCCTTTGCTTCCCGTACCAGAGCCTCTGAACCGCGCAAAGGCCCTGGGTACGAGGTTGGGAACAAGGTAACAAAGCTGAGAATACATAGGGAACATGTAAGCTTGTGCGGAACAAGGAAACATTGTGAAATCTATGTTGGGAACAAAGGAAAACATTTGAAGTAAACACGAGAAAACAGACCCTCATTGGGACATCCTCATTTTAGTTCAGTTCTAGTTTTGAACAAAAAACATTTTAGTTCAGTTCTAGTTTGAAACAATAATCTCATTTTGTTTTAGTTCAATTCTAACGAACTAACCAATTTATTTTGTTCAGTTAAGCACAACTAGTGACGTCATAACAAAATGATAACTTCCGCAGGCATCTCTACTGGTTTAGCTTGCGTATGGTTAGTTCGAAAAAACCCCGATCCCCTACAGATGCCTTCGGAGGAGGCTGGGAACGAGATGAGCTGTGAATAAATTGTTAAGGCCATTCTTCAAAATACCCAAGGTTCTTCGAAGTAATGTATAAAAAAGGCAGAAAAATTTTGTGTCATGTGCACTTTAACAAATTGGCTAAAAATGTCGTTTACAGGCGTACGGTTTTCACGCTTGTGAAATTAGTGTTGATAATAGTTGATAATAGATTCGTTGTTCTGTATAATTATTCACAATATATTTAAATACATGTACAATATTTTACATTATTATACATTATATTTACAAGGAACTCGATAATAATCTTGGGGGAAATGCGTATAAAGATTTGTGAGCTGGGAAAAATAAAGTATTCGAAAACTTCTGCATATATATGTTTTGGCCAAGATGGCACAGGATCGTTCTTTAGTTTTATTGCATGTTTAATTGTTATAATCAGCTAAGCAAAACTTGTTCATATAGTTTGGTGGCGAGCCGCGTACGGAGGATATAGCATGCATGTCCTCTGTATTCGTAACTATTCGTTGGTTTAGCGAACATTGACTTAGTACGTGTTGACAATAAAATGTGAGATTTTCAAGAGTGTATACCATAGGAAGCCCAATCATAAATTGACATTTGGTTCATTTGGTGCTGTTCTACACGTATTTTTGGTCTGCCTATGCGTGTATACGCGCATGTTTGACGCATGTTTCTTGTATGACGCAATATTAAGCCTTGGTGATGTTTTGTAAATCCTTCAGAATTGTTGAACGATAGCGTCGTTGCAGATCCATCATAAACTCCATGTACTCTGACAGTTCAAAGTTCAGAACTGGACCTTCCTGCAAACATAAAGGAATTAAAGCGGTGGAAAACGTGCATATAAGTTCAGTGTCGATAATTTGCTTTATCTATTTTCTCCATAACTGCACGAATCGTAATAAAAAACATTCATGACAACCATATATAATTATTGAGATTTTGTTGGCACCTCACTCGATTCAATAATAGTTGAAGGGTCTTGTAGATGGAAATTATTAAGTGGAAATTTATTAGTTCTGGTTAGGTCTAATAAATGCTAATTTTTTTGTTGCGTTTTTGTTCGTTTGTTCGTCAATACGTTTGCTTTGTCTTCTTGTATTTGTGTTTAATTGTTATGTTTGCTTTAATTTTAAAATAATTAGATATACCATAAGTTGTTCTTTTTTGGAACCCCGTTATTGGAGAACTATCTCTGCATGTGTGGAAATTCCAGTCATTTGTAACCATAGTACTCTATAGATCTATTGCAATGGCAAACTTGTAAAATAAATAAAATAAATGTACACAAATTTCTACTCGATAATTTCCAGCTACAAGACCCATATAATTATTATATTGTGTAAATGTACAATCGCCGCTAATAGTAATAGAGCGTTTGCATTCATTCCCCAGGGACTAACTCAATAAAAGCCATGGCGGCCATGTTGGTGTTTCCGACAAAAGAGTCGAATTAAAATTATTTTGAATTGGAACACCAGTGACGTCATGTGCAAACGCTCTACTGTATATTTACCTTCAAGAATAGCACCAAACGTTGACGTTGTGTTTCACGAAGAATGTCTCTTTGCAAGTGATGTAAAATAGCCACGCATAGGTAAACCTGAAGAAAAAGATGTGCAAGGAGTTTTAACATTTTTCGTAAATTGCATGAACACAAAAAGATTTAACTCTACAACCACCCATTTTATGTTGCGGTTTACTATTTAAGCTCTGTTAAACCTCTATTCCAAAGCAAACGGGACATGCATTATCCATCGCAGCAAGCCCACAGAATTGTCGGTGAGCATCAGCTGAGCAAAATTCGATAGAGGACAAAATTAAGGTAGGCAGTTTACATTAAAAAAATTCATATTATGTAATATGCAATGCCCACTATACCAGTGTTGTAACAAGTCGAGTCATTGACTAGGACTCGAGTCGCAATTTTCGGCGACTCGACTCGAATACGAAAAATAACTCTACTCGAGTCAACAGCCTCAAATGAGTCGACTCGGACTCAACTTGTTGATTTCTGCCGTTGATTTCTGCCGTAAATGACTCGAATCAACTCAGCTACAACTTGTTCAGAATAAATTCATAAAAAATAGTTGAATAGGTTGGGAAGAGTCCTGAAAGGGCTTGAAGAATTAAAAAATAATTCTCGCGATGCATATATAGGCATGTTTCCACTTGTAGGGAAATTATTGTTCACCTTTTTGCCCACACAATTCGAGTAGCCATTGACTCGACTCGAGTGAAGTCATCGACTATTTGACTCGACTCGACCAGATAGTGAAATGACTCAACTCGTGACTCGACCTTTGGGTGACTCGACTCGTGACTCCACCTGTTGGTGACTCGTTACAACATTGCCCACTATCCCCAACCGCGTTTCTCTCGTTTGATGTACACAAGAGAGTCAATGTGTTAAATTGAATGCATTTTCATATTTGTTTCCCTTCGCAAATTTTCATTTTAGCTTCGGGTATATTAAACCAATCACATCCAGTTAATTAATAGAGGTTCAGACTTGATTTCTAGCCTACTACAGCTACCATGAAGGGACCAATAACCAATTAGATGCGTTTGAAATATCCGTTTAACCAATCAAGATACGCACTAAGCCAGTGAAAGGTAGTGGAAGTCAAATCTGAATCTCTCTAATATTGTCATCGATACGCTTTCCCGGAAATATTTTAAGGAATTATTGGTCCAACAGTGTCGGACGATCCAACATCAGTCAACATTATCTAACACAGTGTTCAAACGAGTCCAACAATGTTCAAGATAAAACACCGACGTTTACATACTTGATAATCGATTCCCAATGCCAAACAAATGACGACATACGCACAAATATCCTCCCAATCCAAATAATTCCAAAAGCATTGAGATAACCAGTGTTGACATATCTGCAGAAACATAGTAAATGGTTACTTTGAAATGAAAGGTGGACAAAAGCACTCATAATTGACTCTAATTTTCCTACATAAAAACATATTTAAATAGTATGAGAATAGAGTAATGCGAGTAGTGTACTCAGAAGCTTTCCATCCGTAAGGCCGGATCATTACTGTATCGGATAATGCCTACAGACAACTTCGTTGATAATTATATTTATTATATGGCTTTTCAAAATTATCTATTCTAATTGGTTGACAAGCGGTCCGTAAAAAAAAACCCATATCCGGACCGTGGTCCGTATTTTCCGTATCTGAACCGGTATGCCGGATGTCGTTTATCTGGCGGGAAATTTTTGCTTTGCAAACAGAAAAATTTTTTGCTTTTTAATTTTCCAATTGTGTGTCATTAAAATTTACAGATAAAAATTTCAAACAACCAAATTGTTTTTGATTCAGTATGAATGCCTACAGTATATTGTTACCCAGTGAAACTGACGATAGCCGATTTAATTCACGCGAAAAGCATATGCTCACAGACTCAGTTCGGCCATATAATAAACCGATTATTGACCTCGCTTGTTCGGTCTGTTCAGACCTCACGCCCGGTCAATAAGCCGTTAATATATACATATACAAGATGTCCCAAAAAATGCAGTAGCTGTGCTCCAGATTTTTTTTACTCAGCTATAATTATTAGTAGGCATCGAAAATTCAACCTAAGAGATGACATTGACACTAAGATCATTAAAATAAGACTAGTAGATAGAACCACTGTTATGGCTGTCTGGTTCACTCAATGGACCACTGAAACCATGCACCAGTCGTGCTATGAATCAGTAGGTTTGATGAGCCGTTACTTTAAACAGTCATAACATTAATTTCAATAATCTTAATGTCAATTGAATTTTCGATGTCCACTAATAATTGGCTGTGTAAAAATCTGGAACACAGCTATTGCATTTTTAGCACACCCTGTACAGTTTTGTTCAAACTTATGAAATTCTATATATAACATATACCTGAGAAGGCGTGTAGCCTGAAATTCTGAAAGCTGAAAACACCAGTGGCACTTCCGCCTAGTAGATAAGTATAGATGAGATTATTACTTCGTGTTTTAGGGTTGTACTCGCTAGTTATGTGAAATCCCGAGGCATATCTGATGAATTTAGAAAGGTTGATCCTTAATCAAATTATCTTAACGCATGTTGGCTGATAATCTTCTTCGCTCGTTGGTCATTGTTGGTAAAAAATGAGTGCTGATATAATAGGACCTCAATATATAACTTCATCAATATATAAGAAAGCTGTGCCTGCTTAGAACCAAATAAATATCGAAATGAAAAACAATATTTAAGTACCGTAATCTTTCTTCAAGCCCCGGCGGCTCATCTTTTTCAGGCACCTTTTAGGGGGCCGTATTGGTTGGGGGAGGGGCTTAATTAAAAGAGAGGGGGACTTATTTATTTATTCGTAACATATAAACATAATATATTTTTTCAAGCAATATACAATGTATAAACACGTGTGTTTGAATATAGGCTTAATAGAGCAGGAGAGCTGGATAGAGAGGTGGGCTTAGTAAATTTCTTCACTTAAAAAGCTTATTTGATGGGGCTTATTTGAAACGGGGGCGTATTTGAGAGGGGCCTTAATAGATGGATTACGGTATATATTTCATACCTGCAGCACCAATTCAATGTTATGACAAACGGATGAATATATTGGAGAAATACCGCTGACCATCAATGGGGTTGGAAGATGTACCTTAGAATAGATACCATGGCGTTAACGATGTTCGATGAAATTATTGATTTGGTATATATGGGCAACTAAATTCTCTTGACTATGTGCAAAAAGACTTTCTCCTTGTGGACGTTCGGTTAAAATTGAAAACCTACAGATTCATAAGGCATGCGACAATGCAACACGAATGTACAGTGTACATTCTTGACGTTGTTGTTAAGACGAACATGAAAGGAGTTACATAAAAATTGCAAGTATCAGTTTTATCGCTTTCAGGACGATATCATAAATGTCCCTCGTTCTCTGCGCTCACTCATGACATTTATGATATCGTCACTAAGGCGATAAAACTGATATCTCCTGACCTCGCCCCTCATATGATAACCTATACTTACAGTTTTCTACATAACTGCTTTCATTCTCGAGATTTAAGGTCGCCTGGCTTGATATGCAATAAAACGAGCGTTCTGGACGCAACAAGTTCTGTGCATGCAGTGGCGGACACTAGGGGATGCCAAAGAGGGGCAAGGGGAACGCCCCCCCCCCCCCAAATCATTTTCGAAAACCTTTGATTGATACTTCTCAAATTCATTAATAATTCATGAGCAATTCAGCCAATGATAATCACCTATTTGATCACAAGATGCCATTTGGATAACCCGGTAAAACTTGATGAAAGTCATTAGTGTTTTCATCAAATATCTTAATTACGCATGCAAAATTACTTGAGTAGAATTCCTAATTACGTTATGCTTGGTTAAGAATTCTATTCAAATCAGCAAACGAAAATATTCTGTTACGTCTCGATTCATTTGAGAAGCCATATAAACAACTCGAGCTCGTGTCTCACCGCGGGATATACAAACACTCGAAAACAATGTATGAAAACACTCTCGCTTCGCGCTCGTGTTTTCATACATTGTTTTCTCGTGTTTGGATATCCTGGTGAAACACTCGTTCTCGTTGTTCATATATTACTTGAACAACTGTGTAAAAGAGTTACAGGGACAATTATTTTATAGTAGGTTACAGATTAAGGCTACAGATTAAGTTATATATTGCAAGAAATTTAAAAACTCGCCTCCTCTCTGGTTCAGTAGAAATTTCAACAAATAACTTCCTCATGTGTTGCATAATATTAGAAAAGGAAGGTTTGAAGTAAAAACTGGAGGGTAATACATACGGATGCATGAAGTCTTGGAGTCCAAAGATAGACGGAAGAAACTAGACAAGAAAACTTAAAGAGGAAATTCCAGGATTTCTCGCCGTCACCAGCCATGATCAAGAAAACGGTCGACGCAAACCAGTCATATCCAGGATAATAATCATTTAGAAAATCTGCCCTGGGAGTTAAGAATTATAAAGATGATAACATTTGATGTACACCGCATGCATACTGAACAGTGAAAATATAAATTGTATAGAAATAATCTTGGCTTACATGCTTAGGTTTCCGCTTAATTTTGGTTGTCAGTTTCATTCTTTGTTTGGTTAATGCGACCAGGAATGTAGTTACATTTGACCAGGACGACCTTGTTAGATATAACCAGTGTTCCCTGGATATTGATCTAGCATAGTTGGGTTAATTTAACTAGGACGTCCTGGTCAAATTAACTAGACTATAGTGAGAGAAAGGTGAACCAGGAAATTTAACCAGGAATACTAAGTTAGCCCAAGTACGGTTATTTCTAGGTTAACTAGGAAATGTCTAACGGAGTGTTTTTATAGAATACGCTTATAGATTTGCATAGAATTATTTTATTTTCGTCTCATAAACCGGTAACGTATTTTAGGTCATAAACTCAAACATTCTCCAAACTTTTGAAATGGATGTTTGCAACAAATTAAAAGAAGCGCATTTTGGCATAACGTCATAAGGACCGCTTTCTCTTGTTCTCTAATTACTTGCTCACAATAAGCTTTCGCTTAATAATTTCCACGTATATCCTTCGTCTAGAATCCTGTCGAAAGTCCGTCGAAACACCTAACATACATCGAAAAACAACACTTTGTAAAGTGAAGATAAGAGTTGCTAAAAAATCAAACACGACAGTGAAGACACAAAATGTTCGGTGACATTTCGACAAATTGTACTGTACAATTAAGAGGATACTCATGGCAGATTCGGATGCTCTGTGTTGTTGTCCTTGTAGAAAACATTTAACTTTTTTCAAAAGAAGAACCAGGTTATTGTTGTTTTCTGCATTTGATTGAAACAACTTCAAGTGACTGCCATAACGAATGGACATTTTAACACCCAGAAGCTGCTGCTGTGAAAGTTCAACGCCTTTCAGGATTGTTTCACTGCCTAAAAATTAAAGACACGATAAACATCAAATTCCTAAAGTTAACGCCAGTCGAAAGCGAAGAAAGCGTGCCGAAAATGAGGATGAAAAGCTCACTATCTATATTGCCTCCTCAACAGGCTCTCGCTGCATCATGGGAAGGTCACGCACAAATTCCACAGCGCCTGCGAAATTCTGAACATGATGGTTTGGTAATTACTTATGCAAAGAAGTAGCCAATGTTTCACCCAATCACAATACGGCTTTCAAACGAAATCGTATGATTAGTCAGTTGTACTGTACAGGTATTTTTCCCGTGTAACGCACAGCAACCAAAATATAAGCAAAAATGCTTTATATAAGTTAATTCGAGTTTCTGCGTCAACGTCTGCACTAGTCGGAGTTGCCAAATAAACCGTTACTCATGTTGCCAACTGACAAACGTGGGCTGTATAGCGGCATAGCGCATAGGCAAGCATTACTCTATCGTGCATAGTACAGCAGAGTTCAATGCTTAGAGATAACCGCTTCTCGATCGACATTGAGAATTAGCTGTAAAGTTTTGACAATTAGGCAAAGAGTTTGAATGCATAATAATAAAACTGTACGATTTCTGCTGTAATTGTAGATAGTTTACATTTAGATTTACAGTACCTGAAAAGTCGATAAGAGGAAATATAGCTTCTTCTGCATTATTGGAATGAACCTCTACAAGTTGCTCCAATAACTCAACAAGCACTAAAAATAAGCCATAACTCGTAAGGCATCTATATAGTTATCAAATTGGTATGTTCCCTGTATAAAGGTCATCGTAGTAGCTACATGTACAGGTCACCGCATTACATTTCATTATTAAAGGAAGAAGCGGTATAATCGAACAAGGACAACACGCTTTATTAATTTAAATGTTATATATCATTTGAAAGTTCGCAAGATTTTATCACTGTGATTTTATATAGCACCATAATTGCCTGATTATGATGACGTATTATCTTAAAGTTGCTATTTCGCTAACCGTCCAACATTGCACGACCGTGCAACATTGCACGACCAAGTCTTCGACTGTACTATTAATATACATTCCTTTTCAATGCATGGTTTCGCGGATTGCATTACCGGTAAACTACGTGAAGCGTCCCTCTTTTGACTTCCTAACTCATTTGGAATTTTCCTCATTAGGTTTGCAAATTTGGAAAACTCTTTGCAAACCCTTGAGGGAATTTGCAATGTTCCTATCGGCTGTTGCAATATTCCAATGCAAAAAACTTCATTTTCAATTCTCCTAGCTTCCTGTTTTTCTGACTTCCTTTTCTGTTCTGAGCGTTGTCATTGGTGGATTATTTTCGTTAGCCAATTGCAACGCGCAGAACAGAACAGAACAGAACAGAACAGAACAGGAAGTTAGAAACTTGTAACAAGAAGTTAAGAACTTCTAACAGGTTTACAGGAACGGAGGTAGCAACATTGCAAATTCCTTTAAGGGAATTTTTTAAATTTCAAAGGTAATGAAGAAAAATGCAATAAATTTAAAAACTCAAAAGAGTCTGGAGCGCTTGACGTAGTTTACCTGTAAATTCAATCTTTTGGGTAGGTATTTCTTTTATGGATTCAATGAATCATTCAAAACAATTATATACTGTATTTTGGTGTTATATAAAACAAGTAATGTATGCTTTTATTCTTTCATTCATAATGAATATCTTCATTGATAATAAATATCTTCATTCATCATGAATATTTTCACTCGGTGAAAGATGGAATATTCTGGCTGTCGCCTTGTCGAATGGAATAGTTCCAACCTCATGAAAATATTGACTTTATTACACTCATAAACCTTCGTTATTTGGGAAATAATTTATAATCTAGAAGAAGACAATTTTAAAGATAAAAAAACAAACAAGCTAGCTAGGATTGTAAACATGTCACAGTAAACACTTGAACTCTACCTTTGCCTTTCAACCTTGTCTGAGATGAGGTGACTGCACTTACGACCAAGTTACGGCATTTCCCCAACCATTCCCCACTGTATAATAAGAAATACTATTTTAAAATATTACAATGCCTTTGCAGCACAGCTGGAATATATACAACAAAGCATTAATTCTAGGTTTAACATGGATTAACATGGTAAGGCAGTCCTCAAAAATGGAATACTGAGGGCATTTCTGAAAAATACCTTACTTAAATTATATACGACTAGAAATTTGAAGAACTAAATTTTGCAGCAAAAAATTTGAACGGTTATAGCTATACCTGTGTGGTTCTTTGCTTTCAAGATGTTGACATAAATCATCGTCTAGAAATATTTATGTACCATTATGCAGTGTAAGAGAAAAAAACCCTATCGTTCAATATCTGTCAACCTAAGACAGTTTCCCGGCTATAAGACGAAAACTCGTCTAACGTTTCCGTCGTTCAAACGGGTATAGACGTAGTTGAATTGGAAAACCTGTCGTTTACCGAATTTATATCAGGACGATTTTTTCGTCTCAGACGTGTTTCCAGTTTTGGATGGAAATCCGTATTCTAGTATCAATTCACCTGGGACTGGTCGAAAGGCTTACACGCGGTAAACAGTTGTAACCGGAACAGTGTTGTCATGCAGTGATACTATACTACAGGCTGTAAACAGAATTACCCAAGATACAAGATACTGTGTTGCCATGTTCTATTAGATTATACATACTACTTTTTATTTTATCACGTATTTTATAAATGCAGAAATGACAGAAACAGGAATACTTCAGTGGTCCAACCTTAGGTCCAACCTTAGTACCTGGGTAACCATGTGGGAATGGTCCAACCTTAGTGCCTGGGTAACCATGTGGGAATGATCCAACCTTAGTACCTGGGTAACCATGTGGGAATGGTCCAACCTTAGTACCTGGGTAACCATGTGGGAATGATCCAACCTTAGTACCTGGGTAACCATGTGGGAATGATCCAACCTTAGTACCTGGGTAACCATGTGGGAATGGTCCAACCTTAGTACCTGGGTAACCATGTGGGAATGGTCCAACCTTAGTACCTGGGTAACCATGTGGGAATGATCCAACCTTAGTACCTGGGTAACCATGTGGGAATGGTCCAACCTTAGTACCTGGGTAACCATGTGGGAATGGTCCAACCTTAGTACCTGGGTAACCATGTGGGAATGGTCCTACCTTAGTACCTGGGTAACCATGTGGGAATGGTCCAACCTTAGTACCTGGGTAACCATGTGGGAATGGATCTGTTTTAAGACAAAAACAATTCCAGGTACAGTAAACGACTGGGCCCGCTTTTGAACATAATTCTCCAAGCTCCCGTTTGTTTTACGTAAGAAATCCCATGTTCAGCATTAATGTAAGGTTAGCGAAAGCTAGCTTACATGTTCACTTACCTGGAACGTTTGGCTTCACAGTTGAGTCACAGTGGAGGTATGGTTTTGATGGTGGAGGATATGTTGAAAATATTGGTACAATGTTTGCTTCGTTAGAGTCCTTAGAACATAAAGAAGTCAGACTTGGTCTCTCACAAGGTTAATTAATAGGAGATATACGTAATAGACCTTTTTCATAATGACGTCACACGCGGATAAACATGATGTGATGTCCCAAGCGACAATTTTTAACAATGCAATGTAATTGCTACCTCGCATGCCATGCTCTTTACTTCCGCTTTTTGGGGAGGCAAGCGAAAGTAAAGAGCCTCAATTAGCCTTTCTCACGATGACGAATATCCGCCATTTTTGGGTGGCATCTAATTCTCGTTAACCAATGCAGACAATTAAAACAATGTGAAAAGCAATATTTCAAAATAAACTAACCATTTACAAAGCAGATTTACCATCATTCGTCCAAAAAAATATAAAAAGTCGCTGTTATATGTGGACTTATCTCGCAGACTTCGGCTGAAAAGCCATCCAAAAATGGCGGTGTAAGAAAGGCTAATTGCAAGCTTGTGCAAATCGTTACCAAGCCAATCGAATTTCATGTAACATCGTTTGCTTCGCTAAAAATTGTCCCATGGGACATCGCATGAAGTGTTTTATCCGCATTTGACGTCATTATGAAAAAGGTCTATAAAAATAAAATCTTTCTGCTGGTGACATCTTAAATGACATTCAGTCTAAGCCTATCAATCCCAAGCCCTATACTCTCTTAAGCACTGGTCAAACGAGAAGTTGAGGATGATTGTTGGCATGCAAGCGAGAGTTTGCATGAGAGTTTTCACTGCAACTCTTATGTCCCGGTAAAACAAGAACAAGAGTTGATGAGAGTTGACTGGATATCACCGCGCGGGTAGCGAAAACTCTTGTCAGCTCTCATCAAAATTTGAACCAGCTCAAAGTTGGTGAGAGTTGATGAGAATTTGCGGTCAAACTCGAGCGAACTCTTGTCATATTAGTCGCACTGCTTAATATGCACTGCTGCAACACAAGACGTTTAATTCAGCTAGTCGTCTAAGATGTCTTCTAATATAAATATGGCCAATCACTCCGAAAATAAGGTTCTTAATATAAACGGTAAGCCTATCCGATATGGTTTTCCCACCGCTATCGAAAGTTTTCCGTAGCCTATGATTAAACAGAATAAGCTTTTCGAATGACAAGGTAAAATATACACTACTCATGTCGAAACATGCAAAAAAAAGGGAGGAATCGAATGGGATATACTTACATTGGATAAAGTTCTTGGTGGTAGGTTTCTCTCAGTTGGTCCACCAACAAAATACGTTCTCACAAGGACATGATTGCGCTCCATTGAACATGCATCTATGACGTACTGCGAACTACGAAGAAAGAAGAAACAACTAAATAAATTTTATAACAAAACGGGGAAACGATTGTCATTTACTTTACTACTGAGGAAACCTTTCGTTATAACACTTTGAAAATTCTATTTTATCTTGTATAAAATATTGATATTGCTAGCTTTTGTAAAATTCCTTCTATAGGTTAGATATAATCTATAAGATAAAATGTCGCATTGTCCAAATCTTCGTCAACAACTCGACAAGCCTTTTACGTAATAATTGAAATCCGACTATGAGGACTGGACTAGATTTCAAGTCCGCGCAATATATCAGGTATCCAGTATTATCATGTGAGCAACATAAAGCAATATGGTTGGCTAATTTACTCATGACTTATTAATGAGTTTGAGATGACTAGTTAACAGCTGGGAATTACAAGCAGTGCGAACACATCGGGATGACAAGGTTTTGAAATACTGTAGCATTGGTACAAATCTACTGCAGACAGGTCGTTACAAGTTGTGCTTGGTTACGCGACAGTCTACACTGCATGCATGGTCTACACTACACGGCAAACCTGCTAGGCAGCATGCTCTTGGCTTGAAGTTGCAGTAGAGCTTCCTGGATATTATACTGAGTTTGTAGAAGCAGGAAGGTATCCAGTGAGGAACACATCACATTTAGTAATCTGGAAACGAGAGGACTGTTGAGTAAAACGACTCCAAACATGACAAGATGTAAACGTACAGTATATACTGAGGTTCTGAGTTAACATAAATTATATTGCTGTTCGTCCATTATGTAAACAATGAGTGCCAGGTTCATGTATCGCAGGCTCCATTTTTGTTAACGGTGCCAATTTCATGGATTGACTAGTTGTGCATGGACTTTATATCTGAACAAGTTATTGTATTCTTTGATCTTGACTACTAGGTATAACTTTATAACCATCCATGCACTGACTAAATTTCAAATCTTATTTTGTTGGCGTAAGCAAGCAGAGTGGAGGTTGAACGTACAAAAATGTGGCACCTTTAATATTCCCGGGTTTCATTTGACGTCACATCCATTTAAGTGGGAGGCCAAGTGCCTGTGTCAAGAGTAAAGGACGGCTTTTATATTGTTTTATATTGGCTTTTATAATGGTAGAACTCATTTACATAAAATACGTTGACATGCAGCATTTTGTTTCTTTGTTGTTTTAGTTGAGCCCAGTTCCACGGTTGATCCCCATGCACTTAAGTAAAATTGTCACGTAATTGAAACCCAAGAATAGAGAAATTAATAGCTGGCACTCCATGTCAGGGAAAGATGATGACAACAACCAAAGTGAGAATGTACATGTATTATATGATCATGTGGCCGACCTATAGACCCTGATGCTCAAACGTTATACATATATGCGGGTGTTACGAATGTTTAACAACACTGACCTTAATCCAAATAAGTGCGCTTCTTCGAAATTTAGCAACAGCCTGACTTTATCTTCAGAATCAATCAATGCCAACCGTTCAATTATCTCCTGTAATCAAAGGTGAGTTTTAAATACTGTAAGATGCCGTCATCACCTTATGTATAGGGACAACTGCTGCATTTCCCCGTAAATTTCTATGAACTAGTGAATATACAAATCAAACCCATTCTTCAACTACAGTGTAATTATTAAATGTCATTTAAAAAGGTAAAACATAGTCGCAACTTGTGGAACATATAATTACGACACGCACCTCAATGCAAAGCACTTGCAAGTACAAGTTAATTGGTGTCCAAGTGGTGTCAAAGAACATAATTGCTGAACATTAATTTCTGAATATCCAAACTGGAAATCGAAGGCTTGTTTTAAAGTTCAATACTAGGGATCTCACCACTCATGAGACATGATCATTCGTGCATGGCTGGGTCAGCCTCAACGTTCCATTTACAATGTCCAGATTTGCATGCAACTTGAAAATTTGAAGGAAATCCTAACACGTATCTTCCGCTATGGGCCCAACAGCTTATGGTTGACAGACATCTTTCCCTGAATTTAAAAGCCGGGTCAACTAGGTGACTATGTTTAGGTAAAGATTTAGCACAAAATACCCATAGGGTCTGCAAGAAATTTCTATCTCCAAGTTTTGCTCCCATGCAGGAAGAAATTTATTTTCTCGTGCCCTGTTCCCCATTCGATTTCATTTGAACGTGAGAAGTTACTGTTCCCATAGATTGCTTAGGACATGTCTTAACATACCACAATGGTTGTTGGATATGGATATCTGTTAATGCTGGTGGATACATTGTCTTCACGCAGTTCTGGTGATGTACTTGACAAAGGTTGATTCACAATTAGTTCGTAAACCGCTGGAAATGAAGATAGGATGTTCAGCAAATTTAACATGACCTAAAATGATAAACGATATGTTAAACCGACATGATATCAATTGAATAGACTTTTCGTTCACATGAATATAGAAAAAAAATCAGTAAAATAATTAACATAAATAATAAAATAAACTGAGAAGTAAAATGAAAACAAACTAAATCACCTTGTGTAGTGTTTTCTCTATACCATTCTCTTTGATTCTGGGCGACAATATTTTATTATCATCCTCTCCTCCCTCCAAACAAAACCACAAGTCATGCAGAAGACTGCTCACGAATCCTAAAATTATTAAAAATTTAACGTAAATATTCCTTAATGATGACTATAATGACCATGCAAGTACGAGTTTTTGACTTGATCGATTATATAATGAACTTTTTATGTAGTTTTTTCAACACGAGCAGGAGTGCTTTACCAGATATAAAACACGAGTGCGCAACACGAGTGTTTTATATCTGATAAAGCATAAACTGCGAGTGTTTTAAATGGCTTAAGTAAAACGCTAGCTAGCATTTAGCGCTTAATGTGATTGGATTATTTGTCGTCATGCGGTTTACTATAACCACGATAAAAGACAGCTTAAGCACGCCACGCTTTTGACAACACGTGCGCCAACGGAAGACAATATATGGACAGAGAATAAAGACAGACAGAAGGTCGACTCAGCCAAAAAAGCGCAACCGCGCTGCCACGCCATGATTCGCAATGATTCGTCATCAAAATGCTGACGCCATGGTCCTAGCCAGTGCGCTTATAAGAGGTATTCCCCCCTGGACGTCTGCCATTTTGAATATTATCAGGGGGTGAATGCCTCTCATAAGCGCACTGGCTAGGACTATGGCGTCAGCAAGAAGTCGATCATCAGTTTGTCTCTATTCTGTGATATGGAGCCGTTATAAATGGCGAATGATGGCGACAGCCGTTTTTGTTTGAAATCACAAACGTGAAACTACATTGACGGCCCTGATTCCAAGCAAGAACTACTGACGCCATCAGTCGCTATCTATAATCTATAACGGCTCGATTGACTTCCGGTTGGTGTATGTATTGTCTAAAACGTCGCTATAGATGAGTAATGAATGTTCTGAGTAAGTGTACCCTCATCTGAACCACAGAATAGATACAGGACCAGAAGTGTCACTCAGATGATATTTTGTCCGAAATTTTATGAGTGCTGACGTGAAAATACGCCATCATATGACGCCATCCTGGAGTGCACACGGAAGTTTTTCATAGGAAAACATAGGTACAAAGTGCCGGGTGCACTCCAGGATGGCGTCATAGCACACAAACAAAATTCGGACGTTTTCCTTCAGCCAAAACACATAGGAGTGACACTTCTGGTCCGGTATCTATTCTGTGTCTGAACATTCATAACTCATCCACCCGTTCACATCCATCAGAAGAAGAAAATCGCACCTAAAAACGGGCCTTTAGGAGGAAGTGCTCGAGCAAAAACGTGTCGGCCAAACATGACGGATTTTAGTCTTGCTGAAGTCGAACAACACAAAAGCCAACTAAAGATGATTTTATTTATTTAGACGCTAGAATAGGTGAAAGCAGCATGTACAATGTGCGAAACAGTTCATAACAAATTGTATGTATGTATATTACCTGACGTCTCTAAAGATACAGCACCAGGACAAGTAGCAGCAATCTGCGTGACCATTACGCCGTAGCCAAACTTCTCACATTTGCTCACCTGAAAAATCGAACATTAAGAATAATTAGTATGTTTAATAATTAATATAATTAGACAAATGCAGTAATATAACTTTTTACTTCAGTTTTACAATAAAGCTTGAGCATAACCAGCCGACAGTTAATAAAATTAATACAGAAGAAAAGCATCGGTATATTGCGACTTTGTAACCAAAATATCATCAAATTAACCAATTTCTATTTACAATATATCAACTTATAATACTTTATAACTACCAAAAGATTTGGTTGTACACAAAAACTGATATGCCAAAGATATATGATAGTAAGCAAATCTTATAATTATATATGCATCATGAATGTTTTCAGCTCTTGTTTTCCTAATTCATTTTCTTCTGGACGCATGTGATTGAGCGGATTTTCTTCCGTATAAGGTAGGACATTATAGTTTCAGTGCCTTGAGAATATTGGTGCGTTTGCCCCAATTTGTTAAATTGAATATTGGAGCGTTTGCCTCGTTTGTTATATTAAACGCATAATGTAGAGGAAGAATGCTAGCTCAAACCTCAAAGGTGATTTTTGGTATGTGTCTAAGAAGAAATGTAATATAAGTTTATGCAGGGCCTATCGAAGGGGAGATGGCTGTGAAACTCATTAGAATAACAATATAACTCATTATCTATGTTGATCAACGTTTATTCATAAATCTGGTCCTTCACCGTCACGTGTGTATTGTATTTTTACCCAACTAACCAATAGCAATGTTTTAGGAAAGTCACCTATCGGTGACTAGAACAATAGGGAAACTAGAAATTGCTATTGGTGGATTTGGTAAAAATATAATACACACGTGACGGTGAAAGGACCAGATTTATGAATAAACGTTGACTAACATAGATACTGAGTTATATTGTTATTCTAATGAGTTTCACAGCCATCTCCCCTTCGATAGGCCATGGTTTATGGTTAAAACTGTCATTTTGATAATATTTTCGTTCTCATTGTTTCCGGACATGATGTCATTAGATGAATTTTGGAGCAAAAAACGAAGGCAAACTAATTTACATATCCGGCAACTTCTACAGTGAAAATATTGATGAAGATTAGGTTTTTTACTGTAAACATATATTAAGATACATTAAATTTTCTTCTTACGATGACCCAAATATTACACAAACTGAAAATCATACTTGGGGTTAGTGGCACTTTAACAGATAGTGCATGCAGAGACAAAACAAACCAACAAGAAAACAAACTAACATAAAACAAACTACAGTAGCAAACAAGACGAATCCAGGCAAAAATAAAACCAAACAAGAATAACTAAGTTACAGACAAAAATATGCAGGTCAAAAATATCCATAGCGAACAAAAAAATAAGCGAACAAATATGAAGACAATGTCAGGCACCATCAAGAGGAACAATACCTGTAATTTCTTCTTATATCTTTCGTACATATAAGAAACACATTCACTCATTGCACCAGACTGTTGTAACAACAACACACCCTGTATAAAGCAAGCAGCAAGATATATTCAGTTAAGCCGGTTTTACACCTAGCAAACGTTTTTGCAAGAAGCGACTTTTTCCCTTTATAGTGGCATCACTTATCACATGCAAAAATCATTTATGACGTGCCAAAATCGATTTCACAATGTCTATCGCCAGACGTTTTGAATATAATAATAATAATAATAATAATAATAATAATAATAATAATAATAAAAGTCTTTATTTCACTACGATAAGACTTATAAAAACCCAGTACCAAATACATACTTTTGGTGTCCCAGCAAAATTGAGGAGATTGTCTATGAGGCATGTTGGTAGTATAAACCTAGAGGAAAGGAACAGTAATTCAGGCAATACGAAATGAAACTCGTTAACGAATGCTCGCCTCAATAAATACTGTCCATACATGTTGGAAACAAAACAATTTCAGAACCATCCTCAGAGATATGAAAAACTAGTTTCATATTATTCTGACACTGCAGTTCGTTGTCTCGAGGGGGGTTTGAACTTGAATCTTCGTGTTTCTTGACCGCCGCTCTACCCAATGAGCTATCGAGTCAACGGAGATTGGTAGCGAGTCTCATCCAATGTCGAGTCTTATCTTTAATTATCCAATTAAAGTGCACGAAATAGGACGCGCAGTGTTTTAATTTCATTTCAGATCTTCTGAAATGTGCTTACCGACTTTCATCGTCAATGTCATCTTCGACTGAACAGTAACCACTATCTGTCTAAATGAAAAAATAGATGAAAACATTTCGTATTTTGAACTATGACGTCACTGGGCGTGCTTGAGATGGTAGCAAGAAAATATGTGCTCTAGATGACTACAAAATGAAGTTATGTACGATCTAATTAAATGCATTTGTTTAATTCAATTATACAATTATAATAATGAGTGTTAATGATTGTAAGTAAAAGCATTGATCAGTTGGCAGACACTATGGGGGCCAGGGGGAAACCGCTACGCCCCCCCCCCCCCACATTTGTTTCAAATAACCTTTAAATGATAGCTGAATAACTGCACGTGTATAACAAAGCTGAAAAGATAATTTTTCAACCATGAAAGCAGTGTGGTAGGCTACAAATTAAACTATATATTGTATAAATTTAAGGCAAAACAGCAACAAAAGATGGTCATATACTTTCTCAGCTAAACCAGCTTATACTCCATAAACATAACCATTCATCTTTGTACGTTCGATGAGTCCGATACGTTTCAACTTCGGCCTTGACAAATTTTGACATATCATGTCTAACCTCATCTAATAAATAATACTAAACAAACTCCTATACTCATACAGACTGCCATGCATCACCAATATGCGTCAAGAATGAATGGGAAGAAATTTCTTTTAGGCAGTTCACATATCGCCAGAACCATTTCCTCGTTTTGAAACTGCATTGCCATAAGCGGATGCCAAGAACACGACATATAGTATATTATACCCCAAACCTCTATGCTAAAAGTCTCTAATAATCGCCAAATAAAACAACTCCTATACACATACCGATCTCCATGTATCAGCAATACACTGATGCAAGCCATAATGACTGGTAACTAGCAGTCCTTCACATCCATTGTACAGCTGTCTACACACAAACACAAGCGCACTGACTGATGTATGAGGTAATGTCACTTTGCCAGGTAACTGACCAGTAAGAGCTTTCTTCGTGAATTCAATAATAACATGAGCTGGTGCAAACCTGAAGAAATATAAACGGGTAAAAATCATCAATCGAAATATTTCGGACGCGGCTATTGTGACCAAGTCATGGACGCGATTTGGAATATTTATCTGTCTTTTGTGTTAAATATGCAAGTCAGTATTAATTGACTGTAGAAATATATCCACACTGTGTTACATCAATCACCTTGACATGGTCCGACAAAAATTGAATCGGGGAATATATAGTACACATGATTAATATGGTTGCATATCATATATATTATTATACTAACGCACAAGCAGACGTGTTTTGTAATATTTAGTTCCGTTAGTTTAATTACATAGTTAGCACCTCTGATCGCCACCATATATGATCATTATCAGATCACAGGACTAAGCTAAGGTGGAAACGTAACTATACGTAAGGGAGGAATATACGCAAGACCAGACAAACATTGGAAGAAGACGAGATACCCAACCACAACTCTACTCTACTTACATTAATATGTTTAAGCACAAGATGTCACCTATCGTAAGTAAAAATACCCTTCACGTGAAGTTCAGTAGCAAAGTTAATTTCAGTGGTAAAGAGCAGCAAGCTGCGTACCCGTTGTACGTACCTATTTCGTTGCCATCTTTCATGTTTTTCACCGTACAAAAGAAGCCGCCTCCCGCAATCTGACGCCGCCAAGCACGCAAGAACATCAGCAACAAAAACAAGAGTATTCTTTTCCAAGTCGGCAGACTCTTCATCGTCCTAATTAGCAGAGAACGAACAATACTGTAAACAGTGGTGGACACTAGGGTCGGGAGGGACAGGTCCGCCAATCATTTCTGAAGCTATACGAAAGGTTGTCTTATGTTGGCAACCTAAGTCACTCTCCCATTATTTCGGGAAGTCCACTACTGATTATAAAATTATATATATTTTTCCACAAATCCTCTTTTTACACTCCCCTATCTAACAAGTCCCACGTTTGGAGTAAGAAACTTAACACCCTCCTTCCTCTTTCCAAGCCCTCTCCTTCAGGGAAAACATGACTTGTGTAAAGATTCTTGTTTTCCGTTTTCTTGAAAATTCAGATCAGTTTCTAGCGTACTGGCTTGTTAATTTTACGTGAAATTTCCCTCTCTATTAAGCATGTTCTTCAGTAAACGCTCCCCATCTCAACTATACTGAAAAATATAAGGAGAACCACGACGTTTCCAGCGAAGGACCTTCGTCCGGAGTTACTAGTCGGACGAAGGGCCTTCGCTCGAAACATCGAAATTTTCCAAAACATTTTCACGTAATTGCATCCCTGCCACGGAAAGCTGGTTTACATTATTGGCACTACCTACACTGGCAAAGACAGTTCAAGATCTGCAGGACATAAGCCTCTTATGTAACCTTAACGTAAAGGTGACCTTAAAAAGCAAATTTAAACGCAGACGTCCTATTCTTACCGCCATTCCTTCCAGATACGTCTGAAGAGGTAGTAATAAAGCATTCGCTACACTGTCCTAAATACAACATAGTAATGACAGATTAGTGATAAGTCTGCGTTCGTGTGTCTGGCATCAGCCATAAAATACATCCATGCATGCCACCATTGCATTTCTTGACAAATTAGCATATGGTGCAATAATGTTATTTATTAGAATTTTCGAGTGGTGCTATATTGTCCCATTATAAGAAGTATATGTAAAAGTAATGAGTTGCGTAACTATCGTTTATAATATGCGAATTTGTTTATTTACTGGGTATCGTATGGAAACTACATGTTTCCCAAACACTACACCTATATGTTTATGTACCCTAATATAACTATTCATGTATTTGTAATCTAATAGTGCTCAATAAATTTCTTCTTCTTCTTCAAGCAACATCTGTAGCAAGCGTTATTTTTCTGAAAACGCCAGATCGCGCCGTTAATTGCGCCACACTCTCCCAATTTCCAAACGTCGGTGCAACGAGCATATAAAAGAACGCCTTGGAATTCTGGAAGTACTTACCTTACAAAGAAGTTCTTGACTAGCAACAGTGCTTGACGCGATCTCTTTCAAAACGGTAACAACAAGTTCTCCAGGATGATACGAATCTAAAGAATAGGACAGCCCTTATTATGCCCTCACTTTAAGAGCGAACCCTACAGAGGAAAAGTGAAGAGCCCAACCTTTTAGAAAAAGATCGTTCTTACGCAGAACAATGGACCTTACAAGTGCTTACGTCACGCAATTTCCAAACAACGAATTATTGACCCAAAAATAACCCACAATGCACTCAAATTGTCTGTATTAAAAAATGTGCAACGTAAGCAATTCTAAGGTCTATATAGGGAGCTTAAACAAGCGACGTTTTTGTCAACACGGACGTCAGATTGCCGAGGGGGGACTGGATGACTGTTTGTATCAGTTTGTTTTGGGCGACGTCCGCGTTGACAAAAACGTCGTTTGTCTATGCCCACTCACTAATATTTGGCTCCAAGGAAATACTTCATTGAAGAAGCACGGAAAGAGCTCAAAATCCTGAAACTATATATTATATTTTAACTAAGAATATGCCTCTAACAAAACTTTTGTGCTAAACCTGATGCTCCTAAGATCAACAGAAAATCCATTGTTATCGCCCTCGTTAGCTCTTTTCTGCGCACTCACAAACATATATGAAGAAACTTGATCAAAACTTCTGCAGAGTCTCTCACTGCACAATTTGAACACTCACCTGTAAAGTTTGGATAATTAGCGGACATTATTTCAATGAATGCTACGACCAGGTCGGTAGTTGACACTGTATCTAAAAAATTGGAAAATAATGTTTCAACATTTGGGATTAAACTATCTCATATAAGTAGTACACTGTTACCTAAACATCTTTAAACAAAAAAGCGTTATAGTCCGGGAAAGTGGAGGAGGTTGGTTAATGGGAACTAGAACAACTATTTCAGTTTTGTTCATTTGTAGTTTGCTACAGGACACATATATAGCAGGATTGTAGCTATATATAAGGGTAACATTCTAATTCTAGTCTAATAGAAAACCAAGACCTTCGGCAGAGCGTTGACAGACGACTGCGCCACCGAAGCCCCATTAACTTATCAAAGAATTTTTTTAATTGGTGCCAAAAAATAAAGCCAAACAAAATACCTATCTATTAGTTGCCCAATCTCGTACCCAGAGAACGGGCATACTCTGCGTACAAGGTTGATTAGTACCAACATTTCTGAGGTTTACAATGACAGCATTAGAGACCTTGCGATTTTAGGACGGCAACGGCTACCACTGCAGTAGATCATTGAAAAGAATTGAGAAATTACAATATATGAATAATTTAGACATTGTCCTCGCTCTGTTTACAACGCTAAATCACAGATTTTCACGTGTTGACACAACGGCTGCATTCCAAGCCACAACAAATGCAACTTCAAACTGGGTTTAGCAGAACTCTTCCCAACCATAAAACCCATGTCTTCAACCTCTAAGACTGTATTAAATTCATACGATTGATAATATACGACGAACTATCTTTACTATACCATTTATTTGAAGGAGTTTGTTTTGGCCGTCGCCGTGCTAAAATCGTAAGGTCTCTATATTAGCTGGCACGTAACGCCTACTGCACGAAACCCAACAATTAGATAAGTGTTACGTACCATCAGTATTTGGTAGTACTACTGGAAATAATTCACGTGAATCTTTGTAAAGTAGTAAACGACCAAGCAAGCACAACGAGTGCACGAAGTAGATGTAATCCAACTGCTGGAAACTATAGAAATCCTTATCTTCTGAAAGGTAAAACACATGTAGTATAGATTTACATAAGATGATTTTTACATGATTGTACAATTATAAATGGAAAATAAGACTTGCTTGCAGAATCCATGCTATATAGTATCAATGACTGCTCTACTTTCACTGATCCGACTGTTAAACTAACTTTAATTCCAATCAAATAGAAATAGGTACGCGTTCCGAACAAGCAATAGCAACGCTGTTTTGCGGTCATGCTTGCGATTGCATACTACAAGTGGAACGTTTGCTAATATAAAACATATTTACAGGTAGCCGAAGGTAAAAACGAAATGGAGATTATCAAGAAATATAATGCAAACGTTAATTAGAACACCTTCAAATACAGTTCTGTATTCATGCAATCCTCTGGCGTAACCGATATAACTGATCATGGGATTCGGGAAGGTTTTCTAAATGTGCTGTAGTTAGAGTCAACAAATGAAGATTAGAACGGAAATACTACATGAAGTGCACAGAAAAAGAAAATTTAAGATGTCATATTTGTTCAAAATTATCACAATCATAATTTTCTGCGCAGATTCCTTGTATTTCGTATAACACACACAAAGGTCCACATCAGCAGATTTGGACCAGGTCCATGCAGCATTATCGAATAAATTATGAGTGTAAAAGTCTACAAACCTGACGTTGTATCTATGATATCTTCACAATCATCATCTTCCAGTAAATCGAATGGTAAGAGACTCTTGGTGATTGATGCAAACTCCATACAATGTTGAATTGTATCAATCAACTAAATATTTATTCAATTTGGTGAAAATGGAATCACATGCATAGAATTAATGAAATAAATTGCCACACTGATATAATTGTGAATAAAGTAATGTAGACAAAGTGATGTTTAAGCAAGCAAGAATAATGAAAAATGGTTTAAAACAAGGCAGGCGAGTAGCTCTAGAAGTATTAAAATAGGTAAAAGAGTCGATCCGTGTCCCTGGATGTCTAAATTTGTCACATATATTTATTATTATTAGTATTCACTCTTGTATGTAATGTCTATGACTCTATCTGAGCGGCCATATAATTGTATTATATTGAATATGCACCATGAAAATTATATTATATTGTGGCTAGCGAGTAAATTCCAAGTGATTTTAAATACGTATATCGCGAAGGATCTATATATTATTAGTATACACTCAACCATGGACCATTACAAATCCAGCATTCAAATTTTTTACTCAACCATTACGTAAGAGTTCATGGTTGAGAAAAAAGATGGCGTAACATTTTGTTTTGCAATGTGTTTGATAAAATTTTGTCGAAAACTCTTTCTCCCCCAAAACCAGACTACTAAATATGATCTGAAGACGTTTAATGGTAATTTAAACCGTATTTTAATAATAAATCTGATGTTAGCCAAAATGTGACACGAAGACAGACAGAATTGCAGACCACTTTTTTGTACACATCAGTACATTACAAGCAAAATTACCATTGAAATATCAGCCGCTTGTAGTTACTTAATCATATGTTTCCCCCATATTTTAAGTGTTTCTTTGTCTAAAATGCGATTTTAGGTTTACAACAGTTATATTTTAAGGTTTCTTGCCCTTTAAATCATTTTCTTCGATATTTCCCGCCTAAAAACAACATTCCTTATAGCTTCCCAATTTTCGATAAAAACTAAATGTTAAACTTTGTCTATGCATTTCAGGTCTAAATGTCAGATAGTATTGTTGTTCACATTAATTTTGTCATGTACTTCATCGATTTCAACGACATTAGGATTGCTTTACGTACATTTTATACTTCTTTAAAAAGCAAGACCTTCTCTTGATTTTTATAAAGTTTTATTTAAAATTATGTGCGACATAAATTTGCACACCCGTGCGTCTCTCTCTGATATACAACACTGAGTTATTGTTCAAGCGTTCATTGTCCTGTCATGTGATCACTCACATGATTTGCGATGACCAATCAAAATGCAATACTGCTAATTTGCTAACATGAAGTACGAAACTGACCTAAAAATATTAATTTCTACACCCTCCCAACCAAAGATTAAAAGTTTGTAAAGTGCTAGCGTTAATAAAATCCTAACTTAATAATATTGTTCACGAGCTCTTCGCAAGTTCTGCCCTTCGATCGCTGCTTTTCTCCTAACTCGTCCATCATTGCGTTGTTTCCTGTTTTCATCACTGTTCTCGATCTCCGGCAGTTCTACAATCGTTTCATTCAATTGTCCTTCGGAATTATCATCTCTACGATCGTTTCTTGATGTTTCTAGAATTTCGAACGGAATCAATCTTTGAATTGGTCTAAACACAGTAGTATAGGGAATAAGGGTTCTAGACCACTTTTTCGGCCCGCGATCTCACCCAACTTCCGGTCAGCGGTTTCCATATTTTCCCCCAACCAACGCGGGCTCATATTTTTCTTTTCTTTTTTCCCCCTTATTTATTATTAGCTTTACAAACATTAACAAACAAACACATTTTTTCTAGGCCATTTTTTTCTGGTCTTTTTTACCTCATTTTTCTAGACCATTTTATCTGGTCTTTTTTACCATCATTTTTATTCCTATTAAATTCTCTAATTCTCAATATCCACTCACGGTTATTTTTGCACTTCCTGGTGTTCTTGTTCCTCTAACACCGAGTGCGTATGTTCTTGCGTTTACTGCTGCTCTTAGCTTTTTCTTTTCATCTTCAGATAGTGCATTGTATTTATTTCTTAGGTGGTTCATTTCTGTTACACTTATTCTTAACGGTGTTGACTTCTTGAACTTCCCCCTCCTTTGTGGAATCACAACTTTGTATTCTGGTCTAGAAATATGTTTCTCTTCTTTTGGACCTAAATCTTCCCAAGGAGGGCCTTCGTATAATTCCACTACATCCTCAAGTTCAAAGTATTCACTCTGAGGTTCAACCCTTTCTAGTACACAGCTCGGTTCCAGTTTTTCTTCAATCACCACCTCAGCCTTTAGGTCTCCAATTGAGTGGTGTCCATATGCGTAACTTGTAACACCGTCTTCAAGTAAATATCTTTTGTCATCGAAACAGCTGAGTGTGATTTTCTTTAATTGATAAGTTCCAAGTTTATGTCTGGTGCTTCTGATTGTGTTCATCTTATGTCTCATTCTACCATTGGTCTTAATCACGTTCTTAAAGTTCTGATGAGTGAGCTTATTCCTGATTACGTACTTCTTCACACCTTTTGCTGTCATTCCACCTCCACCACTCTCCTTCACATAAGAGTACATCTTTGACCTTAGTCCCACGAACTCAGTCACTGGTACTCCCTCAGCTTCGTCCTTAAACTTCCCAATTACCTTCTTGTTATGGGCTGAGTAATACGGAGAATCTTTAGGATAATCTGAGTTGTCCCAACAATCTTTCTCTTCACCGATTCTCTTGAAGTCCTCGTACACGTCATCAGTCTTGATCTCATACATTAGACTGTCAGTGTCAGTAAAGAGGAGCTTTGACTTGTCACCATATTCCTTCTTAATCGTGTTGTAGTGAAAGTCATACATCAGAGTTTTCGATAAATCTAAAATACTCATTCCCACATAACACGGCTTGTTCAATGTCAGGACTTCCTTCAGTCTCTTTACCACGATCAAGCTCTCATTCATGATTCTATGTGACTGGAAGCACGGAGACGCCGTAAGTTTAAGGAGATCGTTTTCCGACGACACTAACTTCACATCAACTCTCTTTCTCAAGTTCTCCATAGTTTTTCCGTAAATGGAATTATTCATGAGCTTGAAGAAGTTCTTCTCAAACGCATTCTTAGCAGCTGATCGTTTTTGAGTATTAAAGTCAATGTACTGTTTTAGCCAAGTTGTTTGCTTGAAGGAGACTGCTCTATGAATCTTCGTAAGTTTCATTCCGAGTTCCATATACAGTTTCAAATTTCTGACATGTAGAACGTAATTCTTCCTGGGACCTAAGGAGTTCACCAACTTACGCACACCTCCAATCTTCAACTGGAATTTATCAGCAATGTCCTTTGCATAGTCTGATAACATTGACACATCAATTTCCTTACTCTCTGGAGCTAGAGGATATCCATTATGTTCATCGTGGAGTTCTGCTGGATATTCCATATCAACTTCAAGAACCATTCCTCTTCCAGCGTCTCCCAGGTAGTCATCTATATTTATTTTGTCAACTTCCTCGATCCACTTAAACTCACCATTTGGAAGAGGTTGAGACATCGCCCCAGCCATATAAATTGTTGGCGTCGAGGTACATAAGGAACTTGTTTTCAGCTTCTTCGTCATACGTTTCCATGTACTTATTATTCGCCGTGGAGTGTCTATGAGCAATATGACTTACCCCACCTCTCATTCCCTTCTCAAAGAACTGAAACATGTCCATATCACTTACCAATTCTATTTCCTCACCTGACTGTTTTAAGAACGCGTCCCAACTTAGACTAGGTGCTGAGATGTAATGAGCAGGGTCAAGCTTGTAATTTTCCAGGCAAGTCTTCCTGAAATTCTCAAAGACATCCGCTAGAAGAAGAACGTCAGTCTCTAGATAAAGATCGTGGTAGTCCCTCATCGTTTTCATTCCGAAGTGATCCCAAACTTTTAAAGCTCTTTGGTAATCTTCTTCTTTCACCTTAGACTCATATAGAGACGAGTAGAATTCATCTCTACTTGGAAGTTCCGTAGCATTAAGTTTACTAATGTCATCTAAGTATTCATAGGGAAATACACCTTTCTGTCTTACAAGATCGAAGTCCTCTCCTTGCCACCGCTGACTGACTATCTTGAAGTCTTCAGCTGAAAGGTTATTCACAAGTGCCTCTAGAGAAGAAGCCATGAATTGAATTGAATCGATAAACACAAGACTTTTTCCTAACGAGAAGGAAATGTACTTTTCCATGTTATTTGGAACAACATTAATATTCATCTTGAACTTCCCAATCTCCTGCATTATTAGATGGCTATCGTAACCTCTTAGATTATGGAAGACCACAGGAAGTTTCCATGTAATTCTATATTTCAAATTACACATATTATGAGCAGCTCCACGGAACAGTCCAGTTACATGATCGTGGTCTCTCACTCTGTCATCACCTAGGTCGTTGCCGCAGATGGAGCAGTTCCTTGTCATCCAGAACTCAGCTTCTTGTTCTGGTGTAATTACCATCTTTTTCTTGAAGATCTTGTTCACCATTTCCCGGCACCTGATAGACTCCTTCAGAACTGTCTTCAAAAAGACCTCTGTAGCGTCTTCACCAACGTAACTCGTATATTCACCAGAGTACTGATCATCATAGTGACACACTGTCTTCAACCCAAAACTGCAAGCTTTATGTGTCTGGTAAAGCTCAGTTGAACTCTTCTCCTCAGGGTCTTCACATTCCACTTTTCTTTCCTCAGGAACAAGCATAGATTCAAAGTCAGCATAGATTACAAATGGAGCAGGCATTGAATTTCTATAATGACCGAACTTTATTTTTGAACCAGCATTGGGAAGCTTTGTGGCCTGAGTTCCGTTTACGCTTACACATGTCTTACTATGTTTCTTCAGTGTTTCTTCACTAGTGCAACTATGAAGGCAATACAAGCAGAAGTGTTTCTTGTTTGAGTTACCGCTAACACTGAAGAGCATTCTATTTACATCCATTATTAGGACATAATGATTACC